TCCACAGGTGGGTTCAGGGGTGATCCTCAACATTCATTCCTTGACTAACAGTGTGATTTTCCTGGGGAGTATGTAAAAAACTCCAAATCCTCAGCAGAGCCCTGAATCACAAACTCTGGGGGTGGAGCCAGGCCCTCTACTGAGATTGGCCTTTCATGTGGCTTTAATAGAAGTTAAAAATGTGTGACACCTTAGTTTACACCATCAGGCTGTGCCCATGAGGCCTGGAAAGAAGGTGAATCCTGTGGGTTCTGCTAGCCTCTCACACAATTAGAGAGGGGTGGAAGGGAGGCCTGGGTGTAAGTGTCTCATCAGAGGAGGGTCAGCTCTCTTCACTCTGACTTGCCAAGACTTCAGCCATCAGCAGTACAAATCAGTCAGCTGGTTGAAGAAGACTTCTAAGACCTATATGCGTTCACCTCAGGACTTTGAAGAGAGGGAGATGACAGAACGGAATGAACTTTGGCATTTTCTGTGATCCTTGCCCTAATGAAAGCTTCAGAGAAACCGGAGAAATAAATTTACATAGCTTTCACAGAAAAAAAAAAAAACAACACCCACTTCTCAAATAAAACCACATTGGAGTCATTCTCTAAAAACAGCTTCTTTCATACATTTTTATATTTTAAATAATTTATTTCAGAGGGATTTTATGGATGTATACATTGAAATAGGATCATCTCTGCCTCCCAAATCACAGGAATAAAATTATACAAACAGATTTCTGAGGCGCTACTAAAGCAGGATTTCCGAGGAAGAGGTCTGGGAGTCTGGGCTGAGAACAACAGTTCTTATTTTCTTCGGTTCTCTAATACACTCCACCACCCAGCATCTCTAAGTTTTCCTCCTCTGACGTTATTCTGCCCTATCTCATGCCACTTCAGAGTCACCTTTTCAAAAGAACCTGGATGCCAAACCTCTGATCAATTCTTCCTCCAGGCCTCCCTGTGCTTTATGGGTGACTCGCCAAGCCCCACTAAACCAGTCCCTGCCTCATTCTTCAGGACAGCTTCCCACCTCTAGTCCCTTGAGCAATTCTAAATTCTCACAGTGCCTTGAACACAAGCTGCTCTTGTGCCTTGGCTTCCTCAACTCTCTAAGCCTTTCCTTCCCTCTCCCAGTGTAGCAGTAGGCAAGCTACCCCCAGGTGACATTGTGCACAACTCTCTGCAGGTTAAGTCAACATAGATTGGTTCCTCATCCTATGTCAGTGGTTAGCAAGCCTTTTCCCTATCAGGGCAAATGATAAATATTTTAGGCTTTGTGAGTAACATGGTCTGTGATATGTGAGTATGTGTCTCCAAGTCTTTAAAGTGTATTTAAAATCCTTTTTATGCATAGGCATCATCAAAGATGTGTGTACAGCGACTCACGCAGTCAGTGAGAAACCTGGGCAAATGGCACAGCCACATCTTGAATGCTTCCTGTTGCCAGGAAGACAAAAAGAGAGGGTCTCACACAAGCAACTCCACGGCCCAGTCTGGAAGGGATACCCTGTAACTTCTGTCCATTAATTAGTCAAAGTTGGTGCCTCACCCAACCGACAATGAAAGGTGGAGGCAGGATGTGACTTACTGGTTGAAAAATGCTGACTACATCAGCTCAAGAGCAAGTATCCGAGAGAGTCTTTTCTTATGGCCTCCTCCTGCAACCAACGGGGCTGGTTTTTCCCTGTAATCCCATTCCAGCATGCATACATTCATTTACTTTGTGATGCTTCAGGTGGAATGCACAGCCTTGTGCATGCTAGGCAAGCAATTCACCACAGAGCAACAGCCCCGGCCTCATCTCTGTATTTTATAGCATCTCAAACAACTCTGGATTAGAATGCTGTATGTAACAGGCTGGAATTTTCAACAAGTTTGTCTTATCTGGACTAGGTCCCATGGCCTCTTCAGAGGAGCATCTATGTATGGCGGTTGCCTTGCCTAGCACCACCCTTCCAGCACGGCTCTGTGTGTGTTGTTTAGACAAACTGATTTATGCGGCGGACCATGGGAGTAAATAGGACCACCAACACAGTCACCCGAAGGCTCCTGAATCCCTGTCGGTTGGGGCACATCATCTACTCATGACCAATTTATTCCATTAGTTATTGGTTACTCTCTATATTAATCATATGCATGCCTCCTTGTAACATCTCTCTGATAAATAACTGACACTGAAGACAGCTGGTTCTTGGGCCACAGAAAACTTGATCACATGGGCTGTTTTTGTTCGCAGTCTACAGGTCAGAGGGCAGGCAAAGAAAAAGGAGTGGTTTGGGTTCTGTAGTTTGCAGTCGTGCAGCCAGTCAGAGGCAGAGTGAAAATGACCGACCAAAAAGCTGCAGGATGGACTGCAGAGCCATAACTAAATTTACCAAGAGTTTATTCATGGTAGGAAGCATAACATATGTTTGCCAAAGGTAAGTCTTACTGTACCATAGCAATGTGTCACTTGTGCTGTACCATTCTCTCTCAAGGAAAACATTAAAAAAAAAAAAAGCACGTGACGACTCGTTAATCCTGAGTTTTTAAATATTGACTTCACCTTTGTTCCCACCCATTCCATCAGCTATAGAGTGGCCATGAACTTTTCAAGTCCCAGGGAAGCTGACGATTCTGAAGGCCGAAAGTTAGACCATCCCCCTCGACTTGGTCTGTGAGGTAAATAATAGCTGTGAACACCTGTACTGTGGAATGGCTTGAATTTGGTTTGTCACGCAACATGTGCGTGGCTGGTGCAGGTTTTGTCCATTTCCTACCCACCAGTTTCTACAAAACAGCATTCACACTGAGCTGCTTAGCAAGACTGCTTCTGTATGTGGGCTTATCAATCAAAATGAGGATAAATTATAGGGACCAAAATGTGTCCTGGCTGAGAATTACCCTGCCCTGGGTACAGGAAGTTCTCAGATAAACATCCCTCCTAGAAGCCTGCCACTGACAATTGCTCAGGAGAACCAAGGCGAGGAGAGTACAAAGCCAGAAGAGAGCTAGAACAGAAAATCTGAAATCTGTCAACTTTGTTTCTTTCAAACTTATAAAAAGGAGAGTACGCACACTATATTAGCAGTGAGTTAGCTCAGTGCACCCCTTTACTCTGCTTAGGCCAGAGCAAAGAAGGCACCTCAACTGAGGGGAGGTTTTCAAGAAAACTGAAGGACAGGAAGAGCAAATCTTAAGACTCGGATCCTGTCTGGCAAAACCCCAAAACTCCATCCTTTCTGGGAGGGTTGACTTTGCTTCTTCCTTCTTTGCCTCCACAAGGCTTATAATTGAATGTTACTAAGTATACCAAGAATAAATCTACCCGGGTCCCCACCCCCAACCAAAAAAAAAAAAGGTTAAGCTTTTAATTACAGGCCCTCAAACTATCATTTTGTGCAATTGGCAATTAACTATAATCGTTGATGAGAGAATGCAGAGCTGCGCTGGCAATTTCCCTCCTCCCCGTCCCAGACTCAGTTATTTTAGTCTTGTTCTATTACAGAGGAAAAGCCACAACCACGAGAGCTCTCTTGTTTTCTCTCTCTCTCACACACACACACACTCTTACTTAAAGACACATTTAATTTTTAACAAAATGGCATCTCAATTTGCCTTCGAGACGGGACTCCGAACCCCACCGCGGAGCAATGGAGTATTCGCTGCCTTCCTCTTCCTCTTCATCACTTTCAGGCTGGAAAGAAGAGTTCCCAGGAAGATGCTACCTACCGACCTCACAATACCAGCCCTTCCTATGGGGCTCAGGAGAGGGAGGTAGAGGGTTTCTTGCCGCCCCCAGACCCCTCAACTGACAGCCCGGAGGCGGTGGCAACAGCAGCAATAGTTGCATCAGCGCTCTCGGCCCCGGCGCCAGAAGGGTACAGTAGCGACTGTAGGGAGCTAGGGAGCGCACAGCTGCTGCGGCCGCAGGTTCCCTGGATCAGGAAATTAGGACAGGCACCCGGGATTGGAGGTGAGGACGGTGTGCGAGCCAACCAGCGGCCGCCCCGGGTCCCCCGTGAGCCCCGGGCGGACGCGCGGAGCAGCCGGGCCCCTAGAGCCGTCCGGATGGCGGCGGCGACAGCCCCAGTCACTGCCACTCACGCACGCACGCTGCCACTTGCCCCCGCACCCTCCGCACCGCGCGCGATAGAGCTGTGCGTGCGGGAGCTGCTAGGCTGAGCTTCCCCGCTGGGGTCCCCGCGCCTCTCTGCTGTGCTCCTACCGCCGCCCGAGTGGGTGCCCCGACCGTTCGCCTCCGCTGTCCCTGGAGAACGGGCTCCCCGCCCCCTCCTCCCGCGCCGTCCCCTCCCCTCTCCCTCCCCTCCTCTGCAACGCCTGCATTATTTTCCGCCCGCAGGGTCCGCGCGCACACCGCGGCCTCGGCGGGGGGAGGTGACCGGGTGGGTGGCTGGGTGGGTGGCTGGCGGGGAGTAGAGCGTTCAAGTTGCAGGGAAGGGGTACCCGCTCCTTCCGCGCTCTCCGTGCTCCGGGCTCCTCACTCCTTCCCCCTCCTCCTCGCCTCCTCCCTCCCCGCCCCCACCTCCTTCCTCCTCTCCGAAGGGCTGGTAACTTGTTGTGCGGAGCGAACGGCGACAACGACGGCGGCGGCGGCGGCACCATCC